GCTAAGGTATCCTCATGCTGACCAAGCCTAATAACAAGATCACCGAGATGGGTCCCCAGAAGCCCCATATGCTCCCCACTGCTCTTGAAAGGGTGAATGAAATGCAGAGGACGGTTTCCCTACAGGGAAAATAAAGTAACAAAACAAAACAAATACTATGAATGAAACAAAACACAACTCCAGGCATGTTTTGATGATGCTTAAAATTCACAAGATTCAGTTTTGCGTAAGAAAGTTTTAGAATGTAATTAGTTTTAGAATTTTTCTTTAAAAGTAACTACAGATATCTGGAGCACTGATGGCTGTTAAGCGTCTTGTGTCTTGTCCTTGTTAAGAAGAAGCAGACAGTTGTGACATATGTATGGGCTCTGACTCATATGTGGAGGTGGACCACGCTCTCCATTCACACAGGGTCATAATTAACAGTAGCCTATAGGCCCTTTATAACCACAGGGGGAGGTGGTCTCAGACAGAAGATTATAAAACATCCAAAGAGCTCTATACATGACGAAAGTGTTCTTCAGTAACACAATTTGATGAAAGAAAGACTTGCATATGGGAGAATATAGCGGTTTAGTGGTTATTACAATATAACATCAAAAAGCAAAAATGAAATTACTATAAAATAAATTAAAACTAAATTAGAAGAAATACAAATACATTTTAAAATAATGAATGCAACAAAAAAGGCACCAATATACAGGTTTGGTTATGTACAATACCATAATATAGTAAATAATAATAAATACAATAGGGGGAAAACAGTCATAGTGGTTAAAGGGTTTGCTTGTCAGCCAGAAGGTAAGCAGTTTGAGTCCAGACCAGATAAGACACATCCTGTTGTTGTATCATTGGGCAAGACACTTCACCCACCACTCTCCACTAGGACGAGTATGAGTTTATTAGAAAATACATTATTTGCGTTATACAAACAAAATGTAGCTCAGTTATTTTAGACTTGTCCATTCTGATATATTTTAAGATTTTTTATGCATTGTTCCTTATCAAATAAAAATAGATTTGAAAAAATAAATTCGAAATGTCACAATAGACAATAGGAGCAATACAGGTTACAAGAAATGACTATAAAATTCTATTATAAATCTTTGAGTAGCCTAATGTTGTTATAGCTTAAATGAAGTTGACTTTGTGAGTTGTGTGAGAGAGCTATAGAGGAGTGCATTCAAAGGGCTGATCATGAGATGAGCTAAAGTTGGATTCAGATAAGTGCAGCAGTGATTTTGATCTCAGTGTTTTTGTATTTGAGCAGCAGCGGTGAAAGGAGAGGTCTGTACTCTCCGCTAACCCGGTTTCATACTTGGATTCCTGAAAGGGCACACGCCAATCTGTAAAAAGCAAAACACACGGGGAAGGAGTCACGTGGGTCAAATTTTGCAGGGCAGCGGTGGTTTAGATCGAGTGGTGAACTTAACATAAGGTTAGTGGTTCAAGTTCAGCTTGCCATTGTGTCCTTGAGCAAGACATGTCAACAGCATTATCTCGGATTTGTATCGGAGCTCGACAGTTGCTCACTTTGAAATTTGCTCTGATGCTGGAAATCAATTTTCTATTATTTTTTCCCAAAGCATATTTAAAACACAAGAGAGACAGAGTTTACATAAAGTTGTTGGTCTTGTGGTCATTAGTTACCACATACAGTAGCTGATGTAGCCCTGAGCAAGCTTTCAAACTTTTTATATAATTTTTTTCAGTCTATGCGAAAGACAAATTTACTTCTGTAACCAAGAAGCGGATGGTCATTGTTAAGCTCCACTGTGATTTACAGCCAAGCAGGAAACAAACTTCACTGACACGCCATGTATTATGCACACTGTAGGCTATAAAGCCCATCAGTAAATATTTACAAAAACACAATGAAAGCTACAAATATCAAAGTCGAGGTACACTGCTGCATTGCAAAAAACAATATATAAATAAGTTAAAATTACTTAAATTAAGAATTTTTTTTTGTTATTTGAGTCAATTCAACTTGACAGGTCAAATTATCTACTAATGGAATAAGTGTCTTTTTCTTAATTCAAGCAACATTTGATTTTGTTTCTTATTTTAAGTGCAAAAAGTTGTTTTTCTTATTTTAAGTGTAGCAAGATGTATTTTCATATTTTAAGTACAAAAAGTCTTAGTCCACTGGCAGATAATTTTCCTTTTCAAGTTATCACTCATGATAAAAATTTTCCTAATTCAAGTCATCTTATCTTGGCTAGATTTTAGTTTTTGCTGTGTGATCATGTTTTCTCAATTTTTTTTATTTTTTATTTTTTTGCTATACACGTTGGAAACTCTTCTAATCTTAAGGTTAAGGTGTACATTCTATCTTAAGATACCACGGTGGTGCAGTGATTGGTGCTTCAGACTCTCAGCAAGAAGGTCCTAAGTTTGACTCTTGGGTGACACGGAACCTTTCTATGTAGAGTTTGCACATTCTCCCCTCTGTCAAACATACACACCAAGTTTCCCTCTGGGGCCATGGATTCCCCAGAAAATGTGTTTCTAAATCAGCAGCACTACAACTATGATCAGGTAACAATACAACTAGGGGTGTGCAAAAATATCAAAATATCGATGTATCGTATTGTTTAATGTGATGATACACTATCGATATTGTGTGCTGCTGTATCGATATATCGCCAAGAGTATTTTTTGGTATATTTTACAAAATTATTTTGTTACAGCTACAATTTTGTTGCTTTTTTAGAGGAAGGAAACTCATTGATTAAATGATTAAAATGTTTGTGTTTCATATGAACTTTGCACAAAGAGACTTTTAGTATAAGAGCCATGATTTAGTCTTTATTTTTTATTGAACCATATCTAATCGATTTTAAATGTATTGTAGTGAACCGAAAGTGCACTGTATCGAGATATGTGTTGTATCGTGGCCTGTGTATCGAGGTATGTATCGTATCAGCAACTTCTTAATGATACCCAACCCTAATTACAACATGACTTAAAGCTCACAAGAGTCGAGTTTGTGTAATATAGGACCTTTAAATAAAGAAAAAATACAAATCCTGAAATGAAATTACATCTTATGTATTTTCTATAACCTTGTCTAAATGTCAAAGTTTGAAACCTTTTCTACCCTTTTCACCATGTAAAATCGGCTGTAATTCGAGCTTTTGGTAATAGCCCTACAATTTATTTTCTCCCTTTGTGCCCTATGACTGAACAATAATTAAAGTTATAACACATGCCCACATATTGTCAGAGGCGTGGGTGTGTGCGTCCAGCTGTGCGCACGGACCCGCCCCTCTCTCCCGCGCTGCCTCCGAGGGTCTCTCCTCCGAACCCCCTCCCTCCTGTCTTCTTTTGACTGACGTGCCTTTTGACCAATCAGCGCTCTCGTCTCCGTGAGTCAGTCTGCGGTGTTCCCAATGGAAACTGCAGCGCGAGGCGGGCACGAGGAAGCACACTTGGTTGGGTTTGCCCATTAGAGCGCTAATCACTGTAAAAACTGGTTATGATGCTACAGCGGAGCGGAGAAGCGGACTGTCCTGGAGCTTTATAGCCGGGGCAGGGAGGGAGGAAGGAGGCGAGGCTTGGCGTGGGATGATGCTGCTACTCGCTGGACGTGTACTGTGAACGCGTGGGCTCCCTATCGCTCCTAAACAGCAAGACGTGGGGGAGCGTACTTGGTAACAGACAGCTGCTGATATCAATGCTTAGGTTGACGTCCATAATGATGTATCTAGGCGACTGAAACGACCACGCGATGGAGGGTCAGGAGGGGGATGTTGCGTGCTTCTGTGGCCGGGGAGGAAAGAGGAGAAGCGGCTGAGCTCCTCTCCACCTCCTCGCTTTCCACCTCTCCAGTCCTCACTGCGCTTTTTTGCACGCTTCAATCTCACACCAAAACTGGATTTATGTGGTATATTTTTCCTGTACGTCCCAAACAGGTGACCAAGGACATGACATCACATCTGCATCTCCTCGTATAAGTGGATATCGTTGTTGCATTGATGGATCTTACCACCTGGGACCATATCTCGCGTTGTGCACTGGTTTTATTCCCTCTCAAGCGAATCCTTGCGTTATCTCTCCGCGGACAGCTGCTAATTGGGCCCTATAATGTAGTGCCAACTCCGCCCGGATATCTTGCTCTCTCCTCCATTGGATCAAGTGCTCCCCTGTGATTTGCGTCTTCAATTGTTTTTATATTCCCAAAGTGGATTAACCCTATTTCTGTTTTTATAAGGATGCTTCACCTGCCGCTTACTGGACGTTATAAAACCACCGATGGGAAATACACTAGACAATCCTATCTGGGAGACTTCTAGTTGTTTAAAGGGATCTATTTTTAGTTGCGGAAAGTTTGCTCAAAATCTTGTCAGCAGAGGGAGTAGTGAGAGCAAAGTCCCTTAACAATCATCATATCCGAAATGCTGCAATAGGTCTAATGTTAAAATGTGATATGTATTTTATTAAGTTAACAAATAATAGTTAAAGCAATTGGGGAACACCACTATTGAGTTAATGTAGTGGTAAAACCTATATGGCACATTTTTAAACAATCTATATTTCTAGTTTCCATTCATAGTATTTACATAAGGCCTACTTGTAATATATAGCCTACACTGGTGCAAATTATATCTATGTATCTCCACTAAATCTTGCAAGCACAATAGTTATTATTATAAAGCCAATGTCGTTTTTTACCAAGTGAGCACATGCAGTTGTAACACCACACTCTGCCTAGTGGCACAAAATGTATTAGCAAATAGAATGTATTTTTAAATTCGTTCTTTGATTACTGTTGAAAGATGTTCACAAAATTCTAAAGTTTTATTTTTGTTGGGTTGAAAACTGCAGCACATATTGGCTCCCTGTAGTGACAGAGTGATACTCATATAATCACATGTAACATCATTCAATTTTGCCTACTTTGTCTACAGTTTTTCCCAACCAATTTTTGCATGGAGCAGCTCTGTATCCAGACGTTTTTTCTAAGTAGACTGTAGTTACTTCTAGCTCTCATTACAATGTCTCGGTCCAATAGCGTGAGCCCTCCTGGAGTGGGGCATCCTGGCCTGAGGGGAGGGACCGAGCACAAGTCCGCCTGGGCCGAGTCAGAGTCGGTGTCAAACGGCTGCCCATACTCCTCCAGAGCTCCTCCGGCACCAGCACGCTCCACCAACAACAACAGCCGCTGGAGAGAGGACCATGAGGCGGACCCGGAGCACCGACACCCCCCGCCAGCTCGGTCCTCCACAACCACTGTCAGCCGGGTCAGCTTCCGCTCCCGGGCCGCTTGGCAGGACCATGGAGAGAAACAGCAACCGCAGAATCAACAGAACCAGAGCCAGTCTCCTAAACGCGAGCTGAGAGCCAACAAGTCCGTGGAGCTCGGGCTACAAGAGCGCAGGGGAGTCGCGAACAAGCTACCCCCCATATCCACCAAGAGCGAGCCCGAGCAGGACGCGATGCCCGAAGTGAGGGTGTCTCTGGTGGCGTGCTGCGCTAGTGTCCTGCACGTTTTCAAGTCCAAGAAGTTCCAGTCGGAGAAGTTGGAGAGGTTATACCAGCGCTACTTTTTTCGTCTGAACCAGAGCAGCTTGACTATGCTTATGGCCGTTTTAGTACTGCTTTTTACGGTCATGCTGGGCTTCCACTGCGCTGGAGGAGCCAATATCACTTACGTTGTGGTGTTTTCCGTTGCTATCTTCCTTATATTAGTTCTAATCGTGGTGTGTAATCGCAACGCATTCCACCAGGACCATATGTGGATAGTATGTTACGCGCTCATACTTCTAGTTCTGGTGGTACAAGTGATTGGAGTCTTGTTGGTGCAGCCCAGAAGTGCTACGGAGGGAGTTTGGTGGACGGTGTTCTTCATTCACGTTATCTACACGCTGTTACCGGTGAGGATGCGCGCGGCGGTGATCACGGGGCTCGTCCTGTCCACCATCCACGTCGCCGTGTCGTGGATGCTCAACGCTACAGACAGCTTCGTGTGGAAACAGGTAAGAAACACTAAGATTTGTGGGTTTATGTAAAGGCACTGGGATGGAGGCGGTAATGTGGTGTGGAAATCGGAGCAGGTGCATTTGTTGGGCCTAATTGGAACTTTTACGCACGGTTTTACGCACGAATTATTTTCTATGGCAACAGGTAGAAAATACCAAAATGCTTGTATTCTATGCTTCTTTTACAATATTATTGATTCACTGACTCCAAATTCTTTCTAAAGTGAAATTTTTTTAAGTGTTTATGCAAACGTAGGTGATCATTTCTAAATAGCTTGTATGGTAGTTGCTCGAACACCAATTTGTGGGTTGTGGGTCTTACTATATTAGTTAACAGGTGTATAAATTCTTAGAGCTTTTGAATACTTTTTTCTGGTTCCTTCTTGCTACTATTACTATTTCTATATTATTGTTATTTTTGCATACATTGAGTACTAGAAGTAAGATTTTCAAATCAAACATTTGCTGTGCTGATTTTGGTCTTGTGTGGCCAATTTTATCTCAGTACAATGCATTTTTTTCAACTTACATTAGAAGGTGAGAACAGCCTGATTTTTCCATAGCATGTTGCTTTTTGCCTGTAAGACATAATTGATCTTAGTAACAAGTATCTGTAATGCTTTCAAATTATCCACAAGTTTTATTTGGCTTATATTAGTTAAACAAATATATTGAATTGTTCTGGACATGCTAATTAATTGGACTGTACTTGGGGATGCTTGTACTGTTTAGCTTACCGTCATGACTCATGACTTTGTTTTCTTGTTCTTTTTTAAAATCCCCCCATGTCCAAATTAAATTAACATTTCATTATGGCTGTATTTAGCAACTTTTAAAGAAACAGTAGCAACATTCTGGAGGTGATTTGTCACATGAATGATTCCATTTAAATAAACAAAAAGACATTTATTAGAGAAGTTTATAAAGGAAAGGAACTACATTTTGAAATTTGAAATGCGATATGTTGCTGAAGTAAATCTAGATGATCAATGATACAATAAAGTACAACTATCCCAAAAATGTAGTCTACAGTACTAATAAATAAATAGGAGAGTGAAACACTTAAGTAATTAAGCTAAAACTATTGTTTTATCTAACATATATTCAAAGATAAGTCGATATAGTGTTTGTTGTGACGGGACTATCCATGGCCAAGTCAGGTTTGTGGAGATGCAAGCCTGCTCAGAGTATGAATGTGTGTTTTATTTGTTTTTCATTGCATGTTGTTTTTTTTCTGGCTAAAAAGTTATATACTGTGGCTTTAACTTCAACTTAATCTTGTTTTTTTAGTCTTTCATGGTATTAGGTTAATATAGGCTTTTTCTATACAAAGCTGACATAGGGAACATGTAATTGAATAGGTATGTTGTTACATGTAACTCTTAAGTACATAGGACCTATTGGTCTGTATTAGGTTTCTTAATGAAAGGACATAGCCTGCATACTTTAGTGGATAATGACTTCAGGATTATTTATTCTTAGCAGTAAAGTCTGGATCACAGCGCCAAATAAAACCAGGGCCACACACCAAGATGCAATGAAAAAGATGGGGATTCACTGTCTGTTAAAAGATTTCATTTGTTTAATTGGAAGCACTGAAACCGTGTATAAATTCGGTGCTACCAATAAACTTGCCTTGCAATAAAGTCTTTTACAGAACAAACATTTAAATCACAATACAAACACATAGTAAAACTTAAATAATCATTCTACAATTTAAGGCATTGTACTTGATTTTTGCTGTCTTAAAAATGTGAAAAACAAAGCTATTCTTCAATGCATTTGGAGTGTCCTAATTATTCACCATAATGAGTTTATAAGCATTTATCCCCTCTTAAGACCAGAGGGTAGTTTGTCCCTGTAAAGCTAACAATGCACTTCCAGATTTTTTGCACAATTAAACAGTTTATAATTAGATATAGACAGTACACAGCTGAGTTAACTTGACTTCAAGATCTGCTTATACAATACATCTGTCCTGGAGAAAGACATGGAAGAAAATTGGGTACAGGCCCTTCAACTTTTTTAAAAAAAAAGGAGTAAAATCCTTAAAAAAAAAAAACAAAACAAAAAATAAATAAATAAATAAAATTAAACAAAGGAATTTAAACCTATTTTTTGTATCTTCTTATCATAAGAACAGTTTATGAGATAGCAAATGTTTTTGTTAAGCAATACATTGTCCAGCTGGAATAAGTTATGTTGTTCGAGTTCCAACAATTGCAGTACAGTAGATGAAATAACATTTTTTTTTTTTTAGATTTTGAATAGAGCTTTGTGTAACTGAGAACTAACTAGGTAATAAATTTTACTCTTTTTTTTATCCCTTTTATTCAAATTATAGCTGTTTCCAGACATGTGATTTCTCACATTCTCCTCAGGCATAATTTGACTAGAGCTGACTAGTTGACCCATATACTCTTTAACATATGGACTTTTGCTCTGTAAAAACTGTCTCAAGCGGCATAGTCAATGCTACCTACAAATGTCCAGTTACAGTTTAAGAAATCAATCAACTTCTCATATTATTGCTGTTTGAGTAAACTTGTATATTCAGTTTGATCTTATTTTGTATTCATTTGTGTTTGTCTGAATGGAATATTAAAGAAAATACTCGTCCAAACTGGTACCTGAAATAAAATATTACATTGAGTATTTGATTGATGCATAGAGTAGATATGATGGAAATATATTTAATACTACTACTACAACTACTACTACTACTACTACTACAACTACTAACTACTACTACAACTACTACTACTACAACTACTACTACTACTACTACTACTACTACTACTATACTACTATTATTATAGCCTATAATAGCCTAAGCCTAAGATAGCCTAAGATATTGCTTCCAATATTATAAGTAATATTGTTTTTATAAGTAGTAGCAATATTATAAAGTAGCCACATCAAACCAGTATTACATGTATAGTTTGGAGTAAATTGGCAGATATCAGATGTCCTCCCTATTCAGTGAAATTACTGTTTGTTTTTAAGATAATGATTTTGACATTTCAATAATACTGTCTGTGTGTGACAAGAAAATGGGAATGGACGGATGTTTAGAACAGATTAAAGGGCCTATATTAAGCTATTTTCGATCTGTGTTATGTTATTTCCCATTCACATATGTTTAACACACAGACCCTGCATATTTAGGCTGAGTTCTTCTCTGAGAAAACATTCTGTTCCACCTTGTGATGTCATTTGGTAATACAGGAAGTGCTCCACTGTGTCTTTTAACTCCATGCACCTTCATTATAATCATTTAAATGATTTCAGCCCTTTAATTGCCAATTTCTACATAAAACATAGCTGTTAATTTGAAAACTAACACTAAATGATATTACAAGGTGGAACAGAGCATTTTGAGCTTTGGAGATATAGACAGACTCAAAACATTCTAACATGGCTTCAAGTGTCAAGAGTCAATTCTGCGTAATATAGCACCTTTAATTTAGTTTATATACTTTTTAGCTTATCAATCCATCAGTTAAGTAGTATTTACAGTCCATAAATGTCTAAAGTTACTTGTTGCCTCATCGATCTTGGTCTATAAAAAGAAGTCTTATTGAGTAAAATGGCTGCATTATTTTAATAGAGCTTAACCTGACGTCATTGGTTTTAGTGGATATTGTTTTTAGTGCACTGTTGAGGCTAAGCAACTCATAAAAGCACAAATTTCCCTTTACTTTACAGCACCTTTGCTCCTGGCTTTGTTACCCAGGTACTTACAAAAATGACTGCGATTTTCCAAAGTTATTTAAAGCTACATTAAATTGCATCATGCTATTTGTTAAAACTAGACACACTGTGCAAGCTTTGTGTCCGTTTTCACCTTATTTAACTTTGCATAGCCTAGACCAGAAATGACGCTCTCTGAAATACCTGTCAAACATGGAAACGTCAACTTTCGGGTTCATTTTTGCCCAATAAAATAAATAATGAAGTCTACGTTGAATACATTTTTCCTTGGACAAGTTCAGTATTTTGGTTAACTTTGCATCATATTTTTAAGTGGCACTTAATTTAGCAAGTAATATTATTTGTATTACTTGTAGAGACATTGCTAAGTGTTAAGTAGAGGTTGCAATGAATGGGGTTTTCACCTCTCGAGGTGTGAGTGATGTAGATTGGCAGGTTCTGACTGTTCCGCCTATGTTGATGTAGACCTTTTGGAAAACTCAAAATAGCACCTGTTATGGTTATAAAAGGAGCACGGAACATTTTGTCTTCAAAGTTGATGCGTTGGATGTAGAAATATGTGCAGTAATTTGAGCGAGTTTTGAAAATTGTTATGTCTAGGCGACTCGGTCAAAGCATCTTCTAACTTAAGGTGTGTTCCAGAATACACACTTACGATAATCTGATACTGGTCACCAGTGAATCTGCCTGAGTTCCGATGGGTGTAATTGACAGTTGGATAAGCCAGTCAGGAACAAGAATGGTCCGTTAGTTTCAGAACAAATATGGCTGCTTATGAGGAAGAAAGAATGGCCAAAAAATATCACAGTGGACTGAAAGACATCACAGATTTCTGCAGAATCTATGAGCAAAGCATTATAGTTTGATTTTTGTTTGTAAATGAAAGGTGACCAATGAGCTTCTTTGGTTTACATGTGTTACTGAAACAGACAAATCGAATTGGACAGTTGTTTTTGGGGCTGGCATGAGCTGGCAACATTGAGTAACTTGGTGACCAGACTCATATTCTCTCTGTATATAAAAAAAAAAATCTTATACCAATATCGATAATTTCACTTTAAGTATCTGCTGCAGTATAGGGATGGATAATGGCACTGATTTCTTTTTTCCAATTAACTTTTACACAAGAGATCCTATTTTGTCATGCACTTTCACTTTTTTCTTCAAATAACTACTGAACCTCTTTGTATCAATAGAAGTGCAAACATTATGAGACATTATGGGAAATAAACCTCTAAATAGTCTTATTAATTTGAATTAAGAGCCTAACCAGGATATCTGCT